TAGAAATTTTGAAGTCTCAAGAAGACGAGAATATCCTAACGCACTTCAATTGGAAATTCAAGACTATTTTTACTTCAATTTCTCTGATTTCTTATTTTTATGGAATAACTGAACTGCAATTTCTTAACTGAAGGTAAATTCCTTGAAATTCCAGGGGAACCATGACTCAATCAAAATGTCCAAAAAGTGTCGAGTAAATTTCAATTTTAAAAACTATCAGCAGTGATGAATAAAAATTTTACTTCCTCATATGATTTATCATAAACTACACCGTGAAAAAAAAATCGGAGAAAAACATTTATTATTTCGCATTGAATTTACTCATGACTCGGAGAATAAACGTGAGTCGAGGGAACAATGTGCGTAGGACGATGTCATCTCGAGTTCAGATGGCGTTTGAGCATCAACAGAGATGGTGGGATAACGATTTCCACTCTTATCACGCATTCAAGTCTCCAATGAAAAATTGTTTTCCAGTACTCCATTAATTTTCCTCTCTCACTCCGTCTCCATTCGACTTTTTTTGTTTATGCAATTCTCGTGAGAAACTTACTGATGAGTCGTGAACCCGTTGACGGCGGGGGGGGGAGAAATTCAGTTAAACCGATCGCCAAGTTTTCCAAGCTCGATTATCGATTTTCTTCATCTCGCTCTTCGGCTATAAAGCCATTTCTGTCATTCGATGCTAATGCTCTGGCGCGAGCATCCCTAACATGGTATACACGCATGCATTCACCTGAGAGTACTTGGATACGGGCGACTAGCAGTCGCCCCGGCGTTGATCGTGGGAGCCGAGACGTTGGGAGATGGCGAAAAAAGCCCGGGGATTCACGTTTCGGAACGAATAATTTTTTTATCAATGCAAAGGCTATTTTATTATTTTTTCGATGATAATTTTTTCCCCATTGATCAAGTTATCTATGTTTTCACGGATTGAAAATCATTTTTTAAATTATTCTGATGGTGAAAACAAATTATTCTACTGACATTTTTGCGCCAATATTTTTTTCTCTGCAATAATCATTGCAGTTATTTTTTTGTTGTCAATGACGCTTCATGTTATTCATATTTTTATCCACTAAAAATTGTTTGAAAAATTTTCACGCGTCAAAAAACATAATTTGCAATGTTTTTTCGAATTAAAGGTGACAAATCGTTCTATTTGATGATCCATTGAGCCATTATTGTGAAAAATTTCGCGGTGAAGATGACGATTTCTTTTCATTGAAATTAAAATTAATTTTGACAATTGGCGATTTTTTTTAAATTTTTTAGTTTCAATTTTTCATATTTTTATCCTTTTAAAATTATTCTAAAAATTTTTCTTGTCATGAGAAAAATCAGACATTCCTAATTTCATCCATTCAACATAATTTTCAAAATTAATTTAATCTTAAACAATATAATCTACATTATGTTTTCAAAATATTTAACTTTGAAAATTTACAAATCATAAAATTCGACGTCAAATACATCAGCCCACTGCAATAAAGATATCGATACATTTTGATTAAAACTGATATCAGTCTCGACATCAGTATTATTATAATTCCTCGATCAAGCCTGGGGTCAGTGGGAGCACTTCAGTCAAGGCCACGGCCATCCACTCTCGACTCCACTAGTCATGTTTACTCCGTCCATTCCGTCTTCAAAACCCAGTGAAAGTACTTCCCCCCCTTGTCACATACACTTCCTTTTCACAAAGCTATTCCTTCGTTTGGATTTTTTATCTCATTTCTTTCTCGAAATTCAAAAGTTCCGCGAGTTAGTTTAGTCCACGACCTGCCCTCACACTGGGCACACGTGTGCACACATAAATATTTAAGTGGAGAAGCCTCCCTTTTGGTTCTGTATTTTTCTCTCCACTTTTTCGTTATTCCACTTTATATTTTTTTTCTCCACTCACTATTTTTATTCAACCATTTCTATAATGTTTTATTCATTTATTTGAAATATCAGGGATAATCTAACATGGAAAATCCAATTGTTCTGCATTTCCAATCTGAATGAGAGATTTCATGAACGATTTGATCTCAAATTTAATTCAAATTCACAACATTAAAAATTCAAGTGCAACTATTACTTGATTTCCAAAAAAAATCTAACAGTGTAGATTAATAAATTCCGAATACTGTGAATTTTTTGTGAAATTTTATAGTACATAGTGTCTGCGATATTCAACTCTAAAAATGGCAATTTCGTCCAATCATTTCTTATTTGATTCAAACAATTAATTATCAAATAATTTCTGATTTCTTATTTCTTATTTTTCATAATTTTTTCCGGAAATCCATAGGAACTTTTTACTGGTATTGTCTTGGAATATACCTTAATGCCACTAGAAGCCTTCCCTGTTTTTAATGAGAATGACATTTTTTTCGTAATTCATCAAATCAACACACCAAGTAGAAGTTAACTCTTCAGATAGATATTTTCGCCAATGAATGATTAATTGAATTATCGCTTGAATAATGCCCGGTGGAATAATAACGCGTCGCAGTGAGTATCAAATAGTAATGATTAAAATCACACTAGATCATCGATAAAATGCGAATTTAATCGAAAGATGGTGTGTATATCCTCTCATTATTATAAATATACAGTTTCCAACATTCCCATATCCATTTTTCCGACATATCGCGGACATTTTGTCATTTAATTTTGAATTTTTGCAATTGTGCAATTACGATCTCTTTTTTTTTGACTGGAGAAATGGAAAATTCCCTTCGCACTGATCATTTGTTTACTCTTCCTCGATATTTTGAATTCTATCTGTCAAATTGACATTGACAGTACTTCAACTTCCCTAGCATGTTCCCCATTGCATATTTTCTCCTTATCTACTGAACTTCCACTACTTTTTTTTGTTTACGGCTGCCTCACTTCTCTCGCAATCATCTCCATTTCTCTCTTTTGTTGACAATAACGAGGATAGTGCGAGACAGGGAGTACGCCTCGTTGAGTCTCGACGACAAGTCTCCAATTGGCTGAAAGAGAGAGCAAGCCAAACATTTGGAGAATGCCCACAGGGAACCGGTATGCGTGAAGGAGTAATCATTGGACTGAGGTACAAACGCCTACGGGATTATAACGAAAATTTATTCTCTGGAGGACAAACGTTTTGTTTACATTTTTTTAATGGAACTGTCTGAACATTTACGAACCTCTTACCCCTTACTTTCTCCATGCGAATTTACTTTTTTTTTGCATTTTTAAAATAAGTGGACAAATTGGTTTGGCAATATCTCAACAACTACCAAGTTCATCGAAAAATGTTATAAAACATTTTTTATGGAGAATTTCGTGGGCTAAAAAAAATGTTTCATGAAATTTTTCGATAAATTTATTGGTTTAAGAGATATTCGCAAAATAATAAAAGCAGTTTCTGGAATTGAAGGGGGAAAAAGCAGAAAATAATCACCAGATAATTTGCAAATTCCTCAGGAACTGTTGAGTTTTTAAAAAAATGTTACAAGACAGTTTTTGTGGAGAATTTCATGGGCTAAAAAAATTGTTTATGAAATTTTTCCATAAATCTATTAGTTGTGGCGATATTTGCAAAATAATCAACGGAGTTTTTACAGTTGAAAGAAATAAACTGAAATTCTCTGGAAAAAACGTTTATAAAAAATTTCTGAAAACCTTGTGAGTGAAGTTTATAATTAACAAATAAATTTATATTTTTCGATGAACTTCCTCCATTTCAAGAGGTTCTGAAAGCCCTACAACAAATCGCAAAAATTCTAATGACAGGATTAATGTTCCTGCAACTTCCCCAGGACATCCCGGACATTTCCTGCTTGAGTAATTAATTCGTGGGGATGTTAGATCGCACGGGATAACCCTGGAGTGAGGTCAGACCTCTCTCGAACCACCTGTGGCGCCAAAACTAGCGATAGAGCTGCCGACAATCACAAAGTCCCGAGGTCTCCCACTCAAGTCCATTCATAACACTCATTTCCTTCATAATACTTTGACGTGAGCTTTTACTCACGGATTAAACCAATACCACCTCTCGATTAGATTAAAAATCACCCGAAGAATAATTGCCCAAATTTTTTGAAAATTCCTCAACACCGAACTTCAATTAAAATTATTTCCCGAAATTATTCATCACTCGCTTTGTCCGTGGGTGGAAAAATATGAATTACCAGTCCCCATTATCTCTCCAAACCGAAAAGAACTCGAAAAATTTGTTCTCATGACGTACCGTGAAATATGATGCACTTAAAAAAATACACGAGATGAATTCAAAGAAGAAGAAGAATAAATAAATTGAATGTACACTCGATTTTTATCTCTAAAAATTTACAAAACCAATTGGAAATGAGTCTCTGTAGTGCCCTCAAAACGATCATTTTGCTGCTATAATCTTTGATGCGAATCGACGAAGCAACGGAGGAATCGACAACCAAGAATTAACGAGCCAATCTTACTTCTGTCCGAATTATTTTTTTATTCTTCTTCTTTGCCCCCCCCCCCCTTCTCCACTTCAATTCCCATTGCGTTGTTTCATCCTTGGGTGTCTCGTGCACATGCGAAAACGACGCCCACTTTCGGTCATAAAGACAGATCGCGGGCCAAAGAAACGTGAGAGCGTGCCCCGCTCACCACCATTTAAGGAATTGTCCGTCGTCTCCCAATTTTTTATTTTTGAAAATTATCGAATTAATTAGGCGACAATTTTTTTAAGATAATTGGTGACTTGGCAATTTTTCTCATGAAGAAAAAACATTTCACAATTTTTGAAAAGAAAAAAACAGGGGGAACTGAGTTTAAAAAAAAAACAATGCAGCTTGAGAAATCAAGATCTCAAACTGAAGTCAAATAACTTATTCGCTTGATAAAATTAATAAAAAAATGGATACAGGGAAAGGAGAATGAGTTGATCCCAGAGAACGTCAACGCAAAATTTCGAGATGATTCAACTGCCCGTTGCCAACGCCATGATATTTTCATTATAAATCTCGGGAATGAACTTTTTAAAATTTGCCTTTCAGGTTTACCAAATTGAGAACGTGATTGTGAAGTCGGCAAACTCGCCGCGACCTGCGGCCTGGGTCCTGGAGAGGTCAGTCGACGGTGAAGAATTTCGTCCGTGGCAGTATCATGCACCCAGCGACGAGGAGTGCTGGTCCAGGTACTCTGTTCCGCCTGTCACTAAGCCCATTTACATCGCCGATGATGAGGTCATATGTACCAGCATATATTCACGTCAAACGCCCATGGAAAATGGCGAGGTAAATATTATCTTTAATTCCAATTTGGGCGTGGGGTGTCTCATACCAAAATTTCTTGAGAGATTACATTTTTGGGATCCTCTCAAGAGAGAAAAAAAACGTCTAAATATTCAAACTTTCAATTGAAGGCCCGAGTTTGTAGCCGCGATCTCAGACAAGATATGAATGTTTTTTTGGGCTCAAATGAAAGAGTGGGTCGAGAAATGACGTGCTAGAGCCTCTAAACATGACAAATGTCTCTAAAGATGATGTCTGTTTTCAATTGAA